GCCCGCGCCCTCCCACCTGGGCTGTATCTCTGCGGCGAGCGAGGGGGGGAAGTAAGAAGGGGCGGGCCTTTTCAAAAGTCTCGGAAGCCCCCGACCTTCTGAGAATTTGTTTAAGCCTTCCCTGGAGACAGGAAAAAACCTGTCAGAAGGCGCGAGGGTTTCTGAGAAGTCCCGCCGCCTTCTGGGAAGGCCTTCTCCTTCTCACTTTCCCCCCTCGCTCGCCGCCAACTAGCCGCTCTTTCGCCTCCCGGCTCGTGCTGTTGTGTGTCATGACTTGGGGGGCAAGGATTAGCGTCAAGCGCACGGAGGCCAAGCAGAACGCCGAGGTTTCACATGATGTCGAAACGTTGGTAACGGCTGCGTGGCGGTTTGCGGCGGATGCTAGTCTGCATTGCCAGAGCTCAGCTCTGCATGACTATTTGTTTTGCTGCTTGAGAAAAGGTGGCTGTCGTGGAGGACGGATGAGGGATGCGGAGGAGAGGGCAGGAGGAGGAATGAGGTCGGCGAAGGTGGAGGTGGAGGTGGAGGTGGATGGGCTGCGTGGCGAGCACTAACAGATGCTTGCATTTCCGCCCCAAGGGGTGGGCCGCCCTTTCTGTCTCACTTTGCGACGCGCCCCCCCCCTCCCAGACCCTGCCGTGATCCCAGCACAAAACATGTTTTGTTTGCCAGGGCGGCGGTGTTCATGTTCTGCGGGGCTTCAGTGTAAGCGGTTAAAACGTAAACGTCAGACCTGACGGTTGTGTTTGTTCAACTTGAGGTCCCCAAAGGCCGATGGTGGGTCTCCATCGATGGCGTCAGAGCTGATGGTGACTGGCACAGCCTGTCCACGATTCCCAGCCCGCACCCCCCCTCCCCCTCCTTGGCCCTTTCGTGCCACGACACAGCCCCGATTGCGGGGAGCAGGTTTGGTGGTTCGGGCTGTCTGCATCATAGTCATCGTCATCATCATCATCATCATCATCATCATCATCATCATCATCATCATCATCATCATCATCAGCATCATCATCATCATCATCATCATCATCATCATTATCATCACCATCACCATCACCATCACCATCACCATCGTCATCACCATCATCATCAGCATCATCACCACCACCACCATCATGATCATCAGCATCATCATCACCATCATCATCATCATCGGCGTTCGAGAGCAGCCCAACAAGGGCAGGAAGATGAGGTGAATTGCGGGCACTGGTGCGCCGCTCGCGCGTCAGACCCGATGTGGCCGAGCCTCGGCCGTGGTATCCGCAAGAGTTTTGCCACAAAACCAGCACCATTACCATCATCATTATCATCACCATCCCTCTCCTCCTCATCATCATCATCAGCATCCTCATCACCATCCTCCTCCTCACCATCATCGGCGTTCGCGAGCAGTTCAACGAGGGCAGGAAGATGGCGTGAATTTCGGGCAGTGGTGCTCCGCTCGCGCGTCAGACCCGATCTGGCCGAGCCTCGGCCGTGGCATCTGCAAGAGTCTTGCCACAAAACCATCAACATTACCATCACCATCCTCACCATCACCATCACCATCCTCATCTCCTCATCATCATCACTATCATCCTCACCACCATCGTCACAATCATCATCATCACCATTATCCTCCTCTTCTTCATCATCATCACCAGCATCACCAGCACCAGCAACATCGCCATCGCCGTGCTGTGGGCCGAGGGCGCTACCGTCGCCGCCGTCTGCCTCTAGTCCGCAGGCCATCCTCACACGTTGCAGCAATCCACCAGCCGCCCAGAGAAGCCCTCATCATCATCGTCACCATCCCCATCGTTTACAATCGAAAGCGATAGTAAGGATGGATAACCTTCCCAGAGGTACCCTTGCATCCATGCTTGCCCTGTTCATCCTCAACCCCTTTCGATGGCCAGCCTCGCTCGAATAGCTCCGACATGGGCGTCCAAGGGGCTTGCATCCTTCTCGCGCATCCTGGCGATCAATCTTGACTGTAACACTTTCCATCTCCTTCGCCTGGGTCGGTGTTGTGCTTGATTCGCGTTGCTTTGGGGAGTCTTCGGGGACCTCTTGGTGCCGTTTTGGGGACTTCCATAGGGCCTCTTGGGCCGTGTCGGGGTGTCGGCGGGAGCTCTTCACTGAGGCTGATCGCCGACATTGTTGGTATCGACGCTCGCCGTGGTCAATCACCCTTCCGTGGAACGAGGATGCCCAACTTAGAATAATTTGATATTACGTGGTGGCTTTACAATAGTTTCGACCTTACCTCGTTGACCTGGCACCGGTTCGCCCGCGGATGCCGCCCCACGATTTCCACGCCGGACGAGTGAGTTCTCATCTCGTGTGTAAGTTCTTCTCCTCCTCTCCCCCCCCTTCCCCCTGTTGAAGCTGTTGCTTTTCCTTTTTGCCAGGGAGCAGGGTTGTAAGCAGCCGGCTCGCGTGAGATCCTCTGTGGCCTCCGAGTTGTCCCTTTTCCTTCCTCCTCGTGCTCGACACTGCCGACGAGACCATCATGGACTGCAGCGAGACGTGAGAGAAGCTCCAAGGAAGCCTCATGACCCAAATCAACCACGCGAGGCACCAGCACTAGCTGCTCTGGCTGATCATCTCGAGGACCTTTGCCGCATCCATCCCGAACAGTGGAGACGCCATGGCGGGAGCAGACAGCTTGCTTATGTTGAAGGACCAGCTGAAGCCCCTTGAGGACGTCATCGCAGTACTATCCAAGATCAGAGGCCTCCGTTTTACGACAAGGTGGTCTAGTACAAGAGGGCACAGATGTCGAACAAGACAAATTTCCTCACCAAGCATATGGATGAGAACGTCAAGGAGCTCACGATCTACGACGTTAGGGACTAGAAGCCAGAACGAAACCAAAGTGGACGGCAGATGGCCCAAGTACGTGGATCAGTTCCGGATGGGTAGAGTGGGACGAGACAAAGTTGGCGAACTTACGCATCTTGATGGCCATTGCAGAGCAGAACAAGGGGCCCATGCCAGCCAGGCTGGAATACTTCATCCCGCCGAGCAAGAACGCGAAGATCGGCACAGAGTCCCCCCACCAACTGGGAAGAAACGAGGCATGATATTGTTACAGCAGCCGACAATGGACAACGGAGGATATTTGGTCGCGGAGCCTGACTGCGATGAAAATAACGCTGGTGCGATGACAGTGGACCAACGGACAGACAGCACCACGTGGAACATATGTTGGGGGACTAGAAGGGTGGGCAGGAAAGAAAGATGACGTACGCACAGTGGTAGTTGCAAGTGCTCAGCGTACGCAAATGGACCGGACCAGAAACATGTGACGGGGGAGCACGAGAACACGTGAGGAGATATGTCAAAGTTTGTTCCCAACCCTCCTGCGTTGGGTACTCGTTTTGAATAGAGCACTGCGGTCGCGTCTCCCCTCCTCCTCCTCCTCCTCCTCCTCCTCCTCCTCCTCCTCCTCCTCCTCCTCCTCCTCCTCCTCCTCCTCTCTCTTGCATCCCTGGGGGGGCTGCGATCTGTGAAACTGTCGCCACTTTCGAGGGCTGCTGGGGGGTTCAGCGGAGTGACGTCTTACGGGGACTCAGATTAGACCTCGCCATCGCTGGGGGGCTGCGATACGTGAAGCTGTCGCCACTTTCGAGGTCTGCTGGGGGGCCCAGCGGAGTGACGTCTTACGGGGACTCAGATTAGACCTCGCCATCCCTGGGGGGCTGCGATCTGTGAAACTGTCGCCACTTTCGAGGGCTGCTGGGGGGCCCAGCACAGTGACGTCTTACGGGGACTCAGATTAGACCTCGCCATCCCTGGGGGGCTGCGATCTGTGAAACTGTCGCCACTTTCGAGGGCTGCTGGGGGGCCCAGCACAGTGACGTCTTACGGGGACTCAGATTAGACCTCGCCATCGCTGGGGGGCTGCGATCCGTGAAACTGTCGCCACTTTCGAGGGCTGCTGGGGGGGCCCAGCACAGTGACGTCTTACGGGGACTCAGATTAGACCTCGCCATCCCTGGGGGGCTGCGATCTGTGAAACTGTCGCCACTTTCGAGGGCTGCTGGGGGGCCCAGCACAGTGACGTCTTACGGGGACTCAGATTAGACCTCGCCATCCCTGGGGGGCTGCGATCTGTGAAACTGTCGCCACTTTCGAGGGCTGCTGGGGGGCCCAGCACAATGACGTCTTACGGGGACTCAGATTAGACCTCGCCATCGCTGGGGGGCTGCCATCGCTGGGGGGCTGCGATCCGTGAAACTGTCGCCACTTTCGAGGGCTGCTGGGGGGGGGCAGCGGAGTGACGTCTTACGGGGACTCAGATTAGACCTCGCCGTCCCTGGGGGGCTGCGATCTGTGAAACTGTCGCCACTTTCGAGGGCTGCTGCTGGGGCCCAGCACAGTGGGGACCCACCGCAGACTCAAACTAGACCTCGCCATCCTCCGGGGGCTGCGATCTGTGAAATTGTCGCCACTTTCGAGGGCTGCTGGGGGGCACAGCACAGTGGGTACCCACCGCAGACTCAAACTAGACCTCGCCATCCCTGGGGGGCTGCGATCTGTGAAACTGTCGCCATGGTGCGCCTGGCGACTCCGCGAGCTGCCGACGCACGACTACGGCCGTGCTTCGAGCCAGCGCTGTCCTCGTGCAGAAGGTCGCTGCCCGTCTGGCCGGCGGCCGCCCGTCCAGCGCCGCCACCTACACGCACAGTTGTGCAGGGCACACAGCTTGTCAGGCCCCTATATGCTGCCACACTGGTTCCGGGCAGGCTGTGCTGTCCGGCGGAAGGGGACGAGGAGGGGAGAAGCAGGCAGACGACGACGAACGCCCAGGCGGGAGGCCAGGGCCGGCGGGGCGGGCCGGCAGGCAGAAGACGGGCCAGGAGGAGACAGCAGGCAGGGAGCAGGGGGAAAGGAAAGGGAGGGAAGCAACGAGCAGAAGCGAAGGGAGGGGGAGGAGGGGGAGGAGGACAAAGAGGAGAGAAAGCAGCGGCCGCAAGCAGACAGGCCGGGCCAGGGGCCGGGAGAGAAGAGCC